ATGCGGCTTCTAAAAATATTGATTTAAGCGTAAAACACTTGATTTGATTGTAAAACCTTGTAAAAAGTTTTATATTCTTAAAATCTTATGTACATACAAGTTATAGTTGTTACCAGTATTATTAAACAAGTTTAAGCAGCAATAGTTTTTAATTGTGATGATATATTAGAATTTTATAAAAAATAACACATTTTAACTTTTACAGAACTAGGAGCTGACATGATGCTCACTTAATATTCTTTGCTCATGCTGTTGAAGACCCAAGGCAGCCTGTCATCGGAGGTGTATTAAGCAGCATGACAGAGACTATAGAGATATTTTGACACATGTCAAATCAGGGTAATAACTATATTACCCAGGCAGCATAAGGAGATTATTATGAAATTCCATGGTATCGCAAACCTGTCAGCATCTGGAATAGAACCTGAATTTTCACAGAAAAGTTGTTTTTCATTTTTGCAAGTACAAATACCTTGTAAGGAGGTAGTATGTGTAACTCAGTCTACATATATCTATACTTCAGGTACAGAATTTTAGAGCCTTGCACCGATTATGCTATTCTGTAGAAAATGTACAAATCCCGGTTGAATGATTTTCCTGAATTTATTGTGAGGGTTGAGTATACTGAACTCCTATGCCTTAAATGTTCTGATGAGACTACATATGCATAACGTTTATAGCCCAGTTTGAAAGTGGTGAAAAAAACCCAAAAAGTCAACACCGAAGAATGCTCACTTATTCAGATCATTAGTGCTGCGTTAGTGACAATTCAGACATGCTTACTTGTAACAGGATAAAATCACCATGCCAAACTGAACAGGGTCAAGACTCAGGTCCAAGAGCTACTGCTGAACCTTCAGAGCTGTTACACACTCAGAAAGATTTGGAGCTACACTTTGACCCAAGCCAGGAGCCGTCTCTTGACACAGTGGAGGACAAGATCAAACAAGGGACCACAACAACCAGTCTGCCTTTGGCAGAATTCAGCCACCCTATTGGGCAGGTGTGAGGACACAAGAAGAGCCATGGCATAGCTGGCTTCAGAGGCAGAAAAATCTTCCTGAAATTTACATTTACATTTGCTAATAGCCACTGTTTCTGTAGAACAATGCTGTCTTCTGCCATGAGTTGTGTGAGTGCAAGGGAAACAGCAAGAAAACATAGTCTCGTATAGCCTGCTTCTTGCTGTGCAGATGCCTTCCTGTGTTCACCCCATGCTGCAGCCTCCCTAATGTCTTAGAAAACCATAAAACTCTGAGTCACAAAGACAGGCATCAAAAGAGTATATGATGAGATAACACTAAATCATCCAGATTAGGGAGATGGGTCACTGCTATGAAAATGAAGGGAGAAGAAGGTAAGTACTAGTATAAAGGAGCTTCATTTGAACTACTTTTACTCTTTAGCTCAGATCAATGACAAAACTTTTGTTTCTACTCATTGTAAGGATGCATGAATGTTGTGATAAGGCTTTTCACAGAAAGGGACTGAGATCTCCTAAATATCCTCTAACAGGTAAAAATATGATTGTATGAACTTTAGTTACCACCCTGCCTATAAGATCCCTATAACACATATTTTTTAGAAAACTAAAGGGAGAAAACCAAGTGTTCAGTCCTTAACATATCTGTATAAGTCCATATCTTGGGAATTTGTATGGAAAATTGACATTTGTTGGATGAATACTATATCATTTTCCTATGCAGACACTAAATAATTAGAGAAAGAAAGGGCAAAGAGTTGACTGCATTCCTTTACCATGTGATACAGCAGAAAGACAGAGCTGAGCACATTACACTGAGGTGGCATCCACCACTACATCCTGCTTAGTTTCTAAAAAAACTTATAATTTCCATATATTACTTATGGAGTCCTTATAAATATTCTTTGGAGAAAAGGCCTCTTTTCCCGCATTATTACAATTTTATGCAGTGATAATTACTGAATTGACAGAATGGAGTAGAGATGGATTGCAGTGTGGGCAGGCTGGAGAGTGTCTCTAAGGTAATATCAAGTTTGAGGTATGAAGGACAGGTTCCTTGAGCCAGAATTAGTTGCACTTCTTATTTGTGGTATTTTGTCTTTTGATTGTCACAAGTAGATGACGAATTTTTTTTCAGGAATGAACAAACTCAGCAATTTCTCCCTTATGTTTTTCCTTGATAGTGTATAAAATACAAGATACCCAAAACTATTTCTTTTGTTCCAGTAGTTATTATGTTAGCATGTTTTAATTAATGTTAGCATAATTTTAATCTTCTGCCAAACTGCTGTTTCCTCCTTTGAAAACTCTACTTGTTTGAAGAACAGAAAATTATTTGCATTTAAGATTGTTGCCAGTAAGTCCATTCATTAATAAACTTTGAAAGCATTTAATTAGGGCCAGACAAACTTGCACTTAGTCTTGCAAGTAATCACAGTAGGTAACACACAACATAGGTTCAAATCTGCCCCCAAATAAATAATTCCATGTACCGAATAACAAAGATTTACTAGCAATTAAATCAAATGCAAATTATTGAAATAGTTACAAGAATAAGTGGTATTTTGCTTGAATGGGTAGGAAACTCTGGCCCCTTTAAGTGTCAGTGTAGCAGCAAAGAACTAAACAGGCAATATAAATTAGTGAACCATAGCCAGAATTATTAAGGCAAAATTGATTTTTAAAGCCACTGAAAATAAATCTTAATAGCTATGTATGCCACTGAATTTAGCAAATTTCTCCAATAGAATAAATTGATAGATCTAGTCCACTTCATTGCCAGATGTTACTGAAATTATTTCAGGATCTATAAGCAAGAGCAGTGCATGCATAATCACATGTTGTCAAAGACTTGGCAGCTACTCTCATCTTTGCTTCATTGCTTTGCATGGTTCCCATTTGTCATTTAGTGTCACAAACCTTCAAGCATGAGAGATTAGAGCACTCCAGCTAACATGCTGCTACAATGGTTTAAATAAGGAGCAGAAACTTACTTTCTAAATGTAGTCCTTAGAGAGAGACAAGGAAGATTACTCATGAATGCCTAACAGAGTTGATTAACAGGTATGTTTCCAAGGCTCATCTCCTTAAATTAGACCTAAAAAGTGCAGAAAGTATCACATCCTTATCAATTAAGCTAATCCATTTATTAAAATTCTATCTTGAAATGAATATAAACCCATTTAAGGATTATGATTGTACCCTTCTTTCATTCTACTTTCTCTTTAACTTATCATTAAAGTCTTTTATGTCTCTGATTAGTTTTGAACCCATTAATTACAGAGCACTGACTGAAAGAAACTGCCTCTGCAAATAAGTAGCTAAAAAGACATTTTTCTTTTAAGGCAAAATCTGAAATGAAAAAGATAAAAGAAATATTTGATTCAGTTGTTTTAATTTCTCTAAGGACACTGTTAAAACAAAAGAAAAAGATTTAAGTGTTCTTCTTTTAAGGGTAGGCTCTTGTATTTTAGAATGCAGCTTCTAAGATCATCTATAAGGATTTTTTTAAAGCAAACACATACCATAATTTACTGCAGGAGAATCCCTTATTTGTGATTTTAAAATTGACAAACTCTCTTGTATAGCCAAAATGAACAGAACTCACTCATGTTAGCCTACAAACATATTCATGCATACTAGAATTTGCTGTCCTGAGTTTGTATCTTGCTCTGCAGGGATGGCCGCAGATCACTGCGATACTATAGCGTTTCAACAGATGGTGAATGCTTTTATTTTTTTTTTTTCTACTTCCAATTGTGTTATTACTCCTACAAATTGTACACAAGGCTATGGTAAGTTTTTTGTGATTATGCCAGGCATCCTCATATCTTCTGTATAATTTTGTTTTTCTCTTGTCCTTCTCTCTTACCATTAGACTAAACTCATCAACAGTCATCATAAGTTTGTTCTTCTCCTCTGTTTTTTCCACGTGAAAGTACTTGGCAAAAATATGAATTGCTTACTTCTCATAATAAAAAGGAAGCTAGACTTAGATGCCTTTCACAGCACCTTTACCTAAAAACTATTCAAACTATTATCAAACTTGGTCATTCAGCCACGCTGAATTTACTGCCATTTCTCTTAACGCTCCGTATGCTTGGTAATTTGAAATATCGTACACAGTGACATTAATCTTTGTTCTAAATTCACTTGTATTAACCATAATTTTCAGAAGATGTTCTAATTTAATGTGTTGTACATAAATGTTATCATGTCCCTTTTATTTTTTTTTTTTTGCATAGCATCTATATTAAACCACTGCTTATGCTTTAGGTACAAAATAATATACTATAGAAACAAAAAAAATATTAAATAATGAGTCAAAAGACTGTGTTCCAAACTTCATTGGTGTTTATATCAGGCAGACATATAAACTGATGGATAACTCCATTAATCGTAAAAATAATTTTCCTGATTCCATAAGACCTTTAAAAGTCAGAGTGATGATCATTATTTCTTCTTTTGTTATTTCCTTATCTGAGCAGAGTTTTGTACTTAACTGAGCTCTACTGATTTCTGCAGAAATCAGATGCACTGCAGTTTTTCAGTGGCAAATTTTGAAAGGGAAACTACATTAGGAAAAGAGGAATAGATTTTATTTGAATTATGACATGCTGTGGATACACACACACACATATATATAGGTATGTATATATAAGTATATATATTATATATATAAGTATATATATTATATATATATAATATATATATAATATATATATTCAAAATAGGTACTATATATAAATAGAAAATGAGTAAAATATGCAAGCTGTACGTAGAGTTTTCATGTTAGAGGAACAGATGAGTATTTCAAGATCTGATTCACAAGTTAAAGAAATTTTGGCATAGTACATAACATTTTTTAAAACAAAAGGAATACTGTAGTTAATTTATCTTAAAGAAAAAGGATGTAATTCAATAATGCAATTACAACTTTGTACATAAAAGGAATAACATGGAATTAAAAAGGCAAATAATTAGTGGATCAAAACTCAGAGGGAAAGAACGGACTCACTTTGGGGAACTTTGGAGGCCACTAGCTCATCACAAAGACAGCAGCTCTCACGGTTTTTTTAAGAAGGTGCAGATGAAATGTTTGCTATGAAATAAAGTCAGGCAGAAGAAAAATAATAACCTCCAATGCAATACACAGGAAATGAAAATGTATTTCCTGCACTATACCACTATAAAAAAACTGGTGTATTTGGATAAAAGACTCTAGAATTTCTTGTGTTTATCACTCTTGGAAATTAAGATCTCAAACCTGCAGGCGTGCAGTCATAGCTACAGGGGAGTAACAGGTAGGAATTCACCAAGAATGCTAAATGCCATGTGAAAATAATCCAGTTTGCTCAGCCACTGTGAGGATCTTCAGCTTCTACCCATGCTATTTAAAGTGGCAGAGATTCCTTTTACTGCAGTATTCATCACATATATAGGTGACATCATGGAAGACATATCTTAAGAAATGTTTATCCACATTCTTTCACTTTCCTTACCAATTAGCTTTATGTTGCTTTCATGTACTTCTCCTGCAAAAGAGAGAGTTTCTGTCACCTCTCATCACCTCAAGAGCATTTTCAACAAGTCAGAGAAGGTGATCCTTCCCATCTGCTCAGCAGTGGTAAGAGACATGTAGAAAGCTGAGCCCAGCTCTGGGTTCCCTGGTCAATGAGACATGGGCACACTGGAGTGAGTCCAGCAAAGGACCTCAAAGGTGATGAAAGGACTTAAATATCTCTCATACGAAGAAAGGCTGAGAGAGCTGGGACCGTTAGGCCCAGAAAAGAGAAGGTTCAGGAGCAATCTTAGCAATATGTATGAATACCTGCTTAGGGGACATACAGAAGTTGGAGCCAGACTCCTCTCACTGATGTCTATTGAAGGACAAGAGGCAAAGGGTGCCAACTGAAACACAGACAATTCTGTTTAAACGGAAGAATGAAACTATTTACCGTAAAGGTGGTCAAAGACCAAAACAGGTTGCCCAGAGATGTTGTAGTGTCTCCATCCTAGGAGTTATCCAAAAATTGACTGAAGCCAGTCCTAGGCAACTCAGGTTTTGTGGTAAAAGCTCATCTGAATCCAAAAAGGCCTCAAAGCATGTGGGCAAATCCAAATAGTACCTTGCTTTGGCTGCTCCAAGGTCATCACAGGAGTGTGATCAGCCCATCCTGGGTCCAGCTCAACAAACTCAGAGAAGCAGAAGAGCACAAAGGCAGGCAGGAACCCAAACTAAGGACTTAGAAGAAGGGACACTCTGGCTGGGCCCTTCCCAGTGCTTTCCCAACAGAACCTCAGCCCAAGTGCCTGGTTATGAAACCCATAAAAAGGAGTCAACAGTGGAGCTGGACTTTTGAAGCAAGGAGGGTTGCTGCCTTGGGATATGGGGCGCGTTATGGGTGCAGGGGAAGAGCAGTTTGGATATTGTAGAAGATTTATTGTAGGATATTTAGGGGGAGGAGCAGAAGTGGAGAAAGGTATGGATGTAATTACCTTCACAGATTTCACAGAATATTCTAAATTGGAAGAGACCCATAAGGATCTTAGTCCAGCTCTTAAGTGAATGGCCTCTGCTGGGGTCAAACCCATAACCTTGGTGCTATTAGCACCATGCTCTAACCAGCTGAGCTAATTTGTAGCTCTTGTAGCAAACATGGGTAGAGCCCTCCCCAAATCTTCGTTTGCAAAGCCTAGCCATGAAAGAATAATTTGTAGAGGAACAAGGGGAAAATCTCTTTCCTCTATGTGTATGTGCAGAGAGGAGCTTCTGTGGTGCTAGAAGCTCAAGTTAGATGTTAGGCTGGAACAGCCATGAGTCTGTGACACCAGCAACTGGAGAGACTGGACTGAGTGAAACCGTGCAACAGCCTCTGTAGTGGGATCAGGGGTCAGAAGCCTTGATGTCCATTGTGTCAGTGACTGAAGTGAGTGTGGGTGTATGAGTGAGTATGTGATCATTAACAAAGATGAAGCTGCACTTGTTGGCAAGTAGGTGTAGTAACTTAGGAGCCAGGTGTGTCTCTAAAGGTGAGACAATGGGACAGTTGGCTAGTGGGTAGCAAAGGTGTCTCTTCCAGCTTCCAGAGAGTGGTGCAACTCCGTGTGTCTCTGTGCGGAAGTGTCCCAAGGAGTAATGGTACATGAAGAAACAAAGGATTCAGGGACAGCTACTGGAAAGGCTGTCTGAGCCCAGCTGCTGGAAGGATCTACCAAGAACATATGCATATATGTATTTTGCACTAATAAGTATTCATCCTACTCAGCTAGAGAAGGAATGGGATGTTGGTGCCCTGTATGTCTATGTGAGTGTGAACTGTGTCTATGTTATCTGTCTAGTCATCCATCTATATATCCATATATTTGGTGGATATGTGTGTTTGTGTGTGCCTACTGGGGATATGTGTTCAGCCTTGCTACCGGTTGGACCTGCAGACGTGGAGCTGAAGCATACTTGCTTCTTTGGCTGCAGGAAATGAAAAACAATGTTCAACTTTTTGTTGCAGTTTTGCCTCTTCAAGGACTCGAGAGGCATTTGGATTTGCTGGCCCTGAAGGAAGATACCTCCTGGCAGCTTTTCCTGTCTTCTGTGGAGTTCCTGTAAGTCCTGTGGAGCAAAAGGCTTACACAGAAAGTGTGATATCCTGTGGCTTGTTAGGCAGCTGGCAGTCATCCATAGCAGTGCCACTGGGCAGGGCTGGGGATGCCAACTCTACTGTTGCAGTGTTAGACAAGTGTGCAGGAACAAGGGAGACAAAACTGATGAAGCCTAACCCATGCTGTTCTTTGGGATCAGTCCTAGTGTGAATGACATATCTTCATGTATTGTAATTGAAAGAGAGAAAAAAAATCATGAAGACAAAACTGCTTTTGTGGTACAGCATCTCTAGTACCTACATTTTTCTTAGAACAGGGTCTTTTTTCTTCTAAAGAAAAAATGAAAAAAATTGTCAAGTTCTGTGTCTACACATGGTGTGACTATATGTTGTATCATTACCACAGTCTCTGAACACCCTATGGATTTTTAACATTTTTACATAAAAATGTGTTTATCCCCAATGCTAGAAATAATCTTTTTCTTCCTATGTTAACCTCCTTGTTAATTTTCTTATACACTCCCACTCACAATACTCATCCACATAGTTCTTTTGTAATTTTTCCGCATAGTCATTATTTCACTGTGCTCCTATACGTAGCTCATTTGCGTGGTACAACTTCCAGGTCTTATCTGTGAGACTCATTAAACATCATTCAGAGACCTATTGTTGCAGCATGCTGCCTACAAAGGAATTAATGTTATTCAAAGCACTAATATTAAAAGTTTAATATTAGATCTCAAATAATCTGTTTCTTTTTTTCTAACCTTTACCTGTTTGTCTACTCACACTTCACCACAAAATTCTCAATAATGACTCTTTCTGAACAGTAAGTTCGAAACAGATGGGAACCAGAACTAAATATGGAAAGCTGTGGTAGAGAAGATGGATTTCAGATCTGTATTGAACCATCAGAATCTTGTGGTAATGCTGGAATTTGTCCTATCTCCTACTTTAAGGAAGTCCATTGGATTTTGGTCTTTATTATACACTGTGTTTTATATGAAATTTAACAGTGTGTTCTATGAACAAACTGTTAACTGTAACAATGAGAAATAACGAGATAAAGTCTGAATTTCTCATTTGTGAAGATGAGGTCCAAATTCACTTTTAAAAGAGTGACTTCAAGATTGGAAGGTATTTCACTGAATTAGCGAAGGAAGTTCATTGTCACAGTCTTACTAATAATGTTCCCACAGAACACAGAAACACTTGCTTATATATGTATTTAATTATATTGCACCTATAAGAATAGAGATCTTGAACAAAATTAACAAATTAAAGGGATGTTTTATATGGATGTATTTTTCTTGCATTACCTCTGACTGCTATTCACATCTGACAAAATCAGATGACAGTAGTCTCCTGTGGTAGCAAATGGCCTGTTTTAGAAGTCTACTTGAGGATGAGATTGATGGAAGTTCCACTTTATAAGTGCTTACAGTAAAGGACATACAGACAATTAGCTCAGATACAAACCTCTGCTATGTACTAGCAACCTGCTTTTGGTAACATGACTGTCTTGTAGTCCAGCAGAAGAAAATATTTGACTTTTCCCTCCAATTAGGGTAGTTAAATTTCTACTTTATCTAAAACATAAAGCTGGCGAGATCATATTTCTAAGCCTATGTTATATCAAGCCAGATTTCAGCATAATTGTGTATTTGTAGAGCTGTGAAATAAGATCCACTACCCTCATTTGTATCCTACATCTTTAGAGCTTTGCTGTCCACCCTAGTACACTGTTTATTCTTATTTGACCTCATACCCACTAGAAAGTGCTTGAAGTCAAATCTTATACTGATGTGTCTGAACAGCTGGGGGAAACTTTTTACGTTGTTGATCTAGAATGGTCCAGATCTCTGGTGCTTTTATAAGCTGCACTGAACACTTAAGGCAGATACACTTTTATCTGACCCCCTGGGTCAGCTATCTGCAGTCTATTTGGATATGTGTGTGTAGGGCACAGTTCATCTTGTTCTAAAAATCAGATAAATTCTAATCTATAAGTGCTTATTTCTCTCTCCTCATTACAAAAGAGGTTCAAGTAATTACCTCTGAAATATTCATCTCTAGTGCGGACATCTAAAGACAGAAATTCTACTCAAATTTGGCCTAGTCTTTAATTCCTTCATTTGAGGTCACTATTCAGGTAATCATTACTGATGTCAAATAAATGTGCTACATCAGCTTTTATGGACTTACTGTGAGCTTTGAATGGATGCAAAGCTGATCACCTGCAGCTCAGAGTTATTTACACTTCTCATGATATTTCAAACTTTAGTTGAAGGGAGCATCTCCTTTTGATTTCCAACTTCTTTTAAACTTCAAGTAATATCACAAAACTTTATATTAGCAGTATCATGGCATATTTGTTGAATGATTTTTGTGGACATTGCCATTGTTTGCAGCACTAAATCAGCTTTCAGCCAAATCATAAGATGACATTCCTGCCTCAGCTATACAATGTATATAGTATACCATATACTGGAGTTCTCTCTGCCTCCCTCAGATAATCCCATGAACATCTCTACTTTTTCAGACAACAAAACTGTAAATGACAGGATGATATCAGCAATATTACAAAGATCTCTGGGTAGACCATGCCTTCTGAGGCATTGATTGCTCTGTTTATTTTATCTTCATCATCAAAATTACAATGACAGAGCCCAAGTGTGACATTTGACAATATCGTGTCATGCTACATGAAAAGCTGTGTTTCAGCTGAAGTTACGTAAGGCTGAAAAGAAGTATACCTTGAATTACATTCTCATTAACTCTGTTCTCTATGCTCTGAGTTTTGCTTTCTTAGAAATTAAAATGTAGGTCAATGTTTACTTCAGTTCAATATTTTCAGTTCAAAATTCCCCTGGAGCAAAATTAAAGAAGTTGTCAGCTGTTTTTATCAATCCATCTTTTTGTCTCCAGTGAAGATATTAATATAATTAAACCATGAATAGAAGTAGCCAATGGCCTTTGAAACCTTACAACATTAATTGGAAGAGGTGGCCTATAATTTGATTTCTGAATTACTAACAAAAAAGGTACTCCTTTTTAGATTTTCTGATTTCACTCTAACTTTTTTCCCTATTTTTTTTCTGCTTTCTCTTTCCCTTACATTCTAGGACACTGAGGAGCCAGTTTAATAGTTACTAGTTGGAATTATTTCAATACTTGCTGTTTGGAGTGCTAGCTGTGACGGAAAAGGATGGATTTTTCTATGCAGTACTGAAATATTTTGAATTTTAGTACTCTGCAATTTATTCCCTCCCAAATGACATTAGAAAATGAGAAAAAGATTTAGCTTATTCTGTAAAGGAAATATCCGTGGAAAATATACAATTCATTTTGTAGTAAGTGTGGGTAAAAGAGTTGATAAACCTGTGGATACCGAAGGTAAATGTCATTGAAATGAGCAATACCTTAAAATAATGACTTTTTGAGGATTTATAATAGTTGGTATCATCAAAGGATTAACCAACGATAGATTATTTAATTTTTGTTCCTCTTTTTGTTCATCATCATAATAAAGACATAGCAGTTATAACCCTCCTTAAAAAACTAGACAGAAGATCATCAATTTAAAAAAACAAACAGTAAAGATAAGGCACAAACAACAGATGTTTTTACTTGTTTAGGAAAATTATTTCAACTTCCATGTGTTGTATTTTATTATATTTTCTAAATATCTTATAAAAATGGGATGAGTATTTGCGAACTTCAGTAGAGTGTTTTCACTGAATCACATGGATTGATTTATTCAATTTAATTACCAAGTTTTATATACAATCTGAGGGAAGCATTATTTCACTACCATTCAAAGAAAACCCACTAAACTCACAAATATTTCAAAGTCTGCAGTTCATTCAGACCAATGAGTGACTAACTGATTTTACAGCTTTTATTCTGGATGGTATCAAAAGATCTGGGAATTTGAAAAACAGTAGTAAACCTTGTTCAGTGGCCCCTTAATGGCTTAAGTCCTAACATGAGGTCAGCATCCTCCATCAAGTCTTTCAATGATGCAAGACTGGCAGCTG